TTTAAGAAAACATTGGAGACAGAAAAAGAAGGCTTTGTAGAAGACGTTCTACATAGAAAGTTGGGGCACCAACGAATCCTCCTCTTGTCTTCAAACATGACTGCAAGCATCATTACCACGGATAAGTGGCCTAAGTTTGATGGCTCGTGGTATTCCATCTGGAAGAAAAAGATTCAAATGAAGTTTGAAATGGAGAACCTATGGGATGTAGTTTCAGGAAAAGAAACACAACCAACACCTGTTCAAGAAGTAAATGCAACATCAACTTCACCATCAACTAATCAAACTGAAATCCTTACCTGGAAAAGGAAGGATCATGTTGCTTTAGCAGCAATTTGGGAATGCGTAGAAAATCCAATTTTGTCGGAGCATGCAAGACAGCCAATGAAGCATGGCTGGCCCTTGAAAATACATACTCCGCAAGTGACATCGTCACTCAATTCCACCTACAAGAAAAATTCATCACACAAAAGATGAAAATTGGAGAATCGGTAACTCAACATATACACAACTTCAGAAGTCTGCTTCAACAATGCACTTCTGTCGGAGTTATCATTTCTCCTCAAATGGAAATCCTCACTCTCATGAGGTCCATGCCATCCCAGTATGGCACCGTGATACAAACGCTTCGCACAATGGGGAATGTAACACTCCCCACGCTGATTTCAATCCTCTTGCAGGAAGAAACAGCCATGAAAAGCTCTTCTTCTGACTCACATGCCCTCTTTGTAGGACGCAAAGGAAAGACAAAATGGCAACCTCACAAATCCAATCCAAAAGACCATAAGCTTTCAAAACAGCGCAACAAACCTACAACTCCTTGCCCATATTGCAAGAAAATGGGGCATTGGGGTTCCGAGTGTTTCAAACACAAAACACAAGTTGCTGCAAATTCAGCAACAACAAATCATGATAACAAGAAAAATAACCAAACATGGAAGCAAGAACAAGTAGAGGAATTACCTCCCGCTTTCTATGCCCATGTTTACATTACACAAGCTTTTTGCTCGGCGAAATCACCTAAGCCTGGAACCACCAAAGACACACAATGGCTGATTGATACGGGTGCCACCCACCACTTGGCACATAATAAACGACAATTCATTAATTTCAAACCATTTCTACATGATGACAACAAAGTATACCTTGGCGATGGCACAACATTACCCATCTATGGCCAAGGAGAAGTAGAAATCTCAATGACAAATGGCGAGACACTTCGTCTCTCCAATACCTTATATGTACCAGACTTACACAAAAATCTATTCTCCGTATGTGACTATGATCTCGAAGGTGGTGGCATCTTAATAAAAAATCAGATGTGTAATCTATTAGCAAGAGACAACACAATACTCGCCTCCTGTCCTCTTCGAGATAATCTTTATCTACTAGGATCAACAAAATTCCCAGCCCAAAATGTGGTGGCACATACCATCGCTTGGTCGGGAGAATCACCATCTGTTTCCGTGCCCCCAAGTGCCGATCACAGAGTTTTTATCTCGCAACCTTCACTGACGACCCTTTCCGGTCCTGATCACGTATGCTGGTCACCACAGCTCTCTCCAGCGCCGTCTTCCCCCACTACGAGCGACTCTGCCTGGTGGATAGTCGACATGGAGTTATCTTCCGCCCTCAACTCCCATGCCTCTCAACTACCACTACCAGAGCCTCGGAATCCTACTCGTCACCACGAAGCACAGCAGATTCCTCTCCACCTCGGCACAGCAAACTCGCAAGGACACCATGGCCTCCCGGAGATCTCTCCATGGCCGAACCGGCTGCCTCTTGCTGCTGCTGTCTTTTCCGCCCATATTACGACACTACGACCCACTACAGCCCCGTTGCCCGAAGCCACTCAAGCTGTCGCCTCAGTTCCAAACTCGCAACAATTCTTGTGGCATCGAAGGCTTGGTCATCCCAGTACTGACCGCCTCAAGCACTTAATTACCAACTCAGCTGTCACGGGAATCCACCTCAAAACGATCTCCAACCAGGTGTGCCCGACATGCCTCCATGGCAAACATACAGCCAAAAAGTTTCCAAAACAAGCGACTACAAGAGCCACTCAACCTCTCGAATTAATTCACTCTGATTTAAGCGGCCGCATCGCTACTCCAACATTCTCCGGCTACGAATACTATGTTACATTCATCGACGACTTTTCCAGATATACCGTACTAAGACTATTACGGAAAAAGAGCGAATGTCTACATGAATTCAAAATTTTTCACACATGGGCTGAGACTCAAACCGGCTATAAAATCAGGACTCTCCGCTCCGATCAAGGAGGAGAGTACTTATCTTCAGAATTCACTCACTACCTGGAGGCACATGGAGTTCAACGTCAACTCACCACAGCGTATACACCACGCCAAAATGGTGTGGCTGAACGCAAGAATCGAACTCTCCTCGACACCACAAGGTGCATGCTCCATGAAGCTCAGCTCTCTAGATCGTATTGGGGAGAAGCAGTCACCTGTGCTGCGTATATACAAAATCGACTTCCCACGAAGGCTATTCCTTCTCACACCACTCCATTCGAGATGTGGCACAAGAAGAAGCCCGATCTCACTCACATTCGTGTATTTGGAAGTCGATGTTATGCCAAAATCCCTGATCCGCTCCGTGTCAAGCTTGATGGAAAAACGGAGGCTTGCATATTCCTTGGCTACAGCCCGGTCAGCAAGGGATACAAGGTTCAACTCCTCCGCACCGGCGCCACCGTCGTCTCCAGGGACGTCATCTTTCAGGAGGAGCCTGCTCCTCCCCGCCAACCTGTTCAGGCCAGCCCCTCACCCGATGCCAGACTCCAGGAAGACCCACATTTCTTCCTTCCCAGCGGGTCGCAGCTCCCTGCCACTCCACCTGCGCGTGTATCCACGCGTGAGCCCCAGCACCCTCTTTCTGATGCTCCGCAGGTGCCGTCGGACCAGCATCAACGTCCTCCTTCACTACCTGTCACGAATCCTCTTGATGATCACCTCTCGTCTGCTGCTCCGGAACCAGCTGCTGCTGATGGCCCAAGCCCGGGGTTGAGCAATTTTCATATTTTGCTTCCCCTGGCTCCAGATTCCGCCCGTGCTCAGTCCCGACTTGAACAATCCTCGTTGCCCGAGGTACCACCACTCCTCCCGGCTAGACCGTCCCCGCGGCATGACGTCCGGTCTCCCACCGGCTTGGCCCTCATGCCTCATTTAGGCCACCACAAACAAGCTCCCAGCACGGACCATGTCGCTGACTCTCCCGTTGAGTCCCCGCATGGAACCTCTCCTGTACCCGTTCGCAAGTCTTCTCGCACCAACAAAGGCGTACCCCCGCCGCGAGACCCTTCCGAAAATTATGATCCAAGTTCTCTTCGGCCGCGGAAGACTCCTCCGCGACCCTCTCGACCGAAGCGCGCTCTTCTAACCCTTGCCGCGGTTCCCATGAAGCCAACGACCTACACGCAAGCCATGACGTCTTCCGACAGTCACCATTGGAAATCTGCCATAGCTGAAGAACTAAACTCCCACGCGATGAACGGCACGTGGATATTTTCGACTCTCCCTGCACATCGAAAACCCATCACCTGTAAGTGGATTTTCAAGCTCAAATTAAACAGCCACGGCCAAATTGACCGCTACAAGGCCCGTCTCGTAGCCCGGGGTTTTAACCAAATTCCCGGGTTGGACTACCACGAGACGTTCTCCCCGGTGGTGAGAATTCAGTCAATACGACTGATTCTCGCCCTTGCCGCCCAGCTGAACCTCCATGTCCATCAGATGGACGTGAAGAGAGCCTTCTTAAATGGCGTTCTCTCCGAGGAAATATACATGCGGGTGCCGGAGGGAGTGACTTCCCCCCGCCCCGGCATGGTCTGCCGCTTACTCAAGACCCTCTATGGGTTGAAACAGTCTCCCCGAGAATGGTTTACGGTCATAAACAAATTTTTACTTACCCTCGGCTTCACAAATTCTGCTGCGGATGGGAATGTCTGTGTTACAGAACCGCTCTGACTTCGCGGTCCTCACCCTCTACGTCGATGACACTCTCATCGCGGCGAACTCCCTCTCCTTGCTCCATTCGATCAAGCGTCAACTCAACTCTCGCTTCTTACTCTCCGATCTCGGCGAAGTACATCACCTTCTCAGTTTACAGGTCACTCGAAATCTTGATCACGGATGGTTCCGAATCACACAAGCTCTGTACATCACACAGAAGCTTGCAGAATTCGGTTTTCTCGCCTCCAAACCTGTGTCGACCCCGCTGGCCCCTGGGACTCATCTTTCAGCGGACTGTCCGTCCTCCTCTGCCGAAACTGCCCTTATTGCTGCCTTCCCCTATGCGAATGCTGTAGGGTCGCTGAACTGAGTCAGCTTGTGCACTCGCCCGGATCTCTCGTTCACGGTCAGCGTTCTTGCTCAATATATGCACAACCCGGGCGATGCCCATATACGTGCATGTAAACATGTGTTTCGGTACCTCCGCGGCACTATCGACCACTACCTGGAGTACCGCCGCACTTCTACTGTGCCGCGCCCTCTCTACGGCTTCAGCGATGCCGACTGGGCAGGCGAAGTGGATCAACGCCGCTCGACATCCGGCTACGTTTTTCTTCTGTCAACAGGCGCCATCAGTTGGAGCTCCACGCGCCAAAAGACGACAGCCCTATCCAGCACCGAGGCTGAGTATGTCGCCATGGCCACAGCCGCGTCCGAACTTGTATGGTTGCGGCAACTCCTCCACGACCTTCACTGCACCGACACCCTACAAACGCCGACCCGTGTATACTGCGACAACCAATCCGCGTTAGCATTGGTCACAACCACTCGTTTTCACTCCCGCACAAAGCACATTTCTATCCGCTACCATTTCATACGCCAACTTATGGCTCAACACAAAGCCGACTTTACCTACTGCCCAACAGAAAATATGCATGCGGACATTTTTACGAAGTCCCTCACTGTGCCGAAACTTGCCCAGCATTTACCCATGCTTGGCCTGCTTGGAGGAGAAACCCCCCGTTCGTGATGCTTTGGTTAAGCGGCCGTGTTGGAAACAATAACAGTGACTAACCAAACATAACGAACAAACTAAGTGAAACGTCGCAACTAGTCAAATATGCGAGACCTAAACGGTCGCATCTCCCTCAATAGAATAATAACAGTGTACACTCAATTTTTAATACAGGTAATATATTCTTTCTATCAAAAACTCTCAAGCTCGCTTGCTTCTAATACTAACCAATCGATCAGATTCAATGCATGCTGGTTGCGTTTAGTCTACTGCACTGCTATGTCCGCATCAGTCTCTGTGGGGGCTATCACACACTCCAGGAGCCCATCGGACCTCGGTGTGTATACCGAGCACACATTCGATATCGATCCTATCGATCTGTCACCTCATGAAGAAGCTAAGTGAAACGACTTACGGCTACCGACAAGTGGGTTGGATTTGATGTAGCTGGCGTTCGATGGAATGCTGAATTCCTGTGATCAAACGTTTGTAAGGAAATATGTTTCAACACATGAGGTCTGTCCGGAATGTCACCGTGAATCCCTGGAGCTTGCAAGCCTCGAATGCCTGGGATCTCCGCCAGCGCTCACACGTCGCTGTATGTTCCGCTACTTGAGGTGACAGGCAGATGAGAACCGACGCATTGAAGGATGTTATTCAAGACTGAATGTTGAATGGTTTGTGCCACTAGCTGCCTCCCTCTGACGCTGACTAAGGAAACATCACCGATTGGTTTTTGTACTTCGTCGATATGAGACTTGAACATCTGACTGCGTCACACTTAAAATCCTGAACAGGTGGGGGCGCGATGGCGCTCCGCGATTTACGGTAGCTGAGATTTGCACTGGGAAAACGATGGCGGAAACTTGCCGCAACAGCGATGGCGGCATTCTGTGACCGTATGGCTGCTAGTGTTCCAACTGCTGCTCAACTACACTGTTTTACCTCTTGTGCTAGGAAACATCTGTGGGTCGTCTTGTCCCTCCGGAAGCAAGGAGGACGCCACAGTGGTCGACGTCAATGGGGAATTACTTGTGGAATCCATCTGCCAACAATCTGCCAACAAATCGTGAGTCATCAAATCGACTCAGTATTAATTTTAGAATAAAACTTGCACTTGGAGTATCAAAACAACAATTATTAGTTGAGTTAATGTAGGACATCTTGAGTGAGTGAGAAAATTAGTTCTAGTGTAGAAAAGTAATTCCTTGTCGACGTTTAGTGTTGATATTTCCAAAATAATTATGTTTACATTTTTAGTTCTTTGACTACCCCTCATGTTGAACAAGACTTTAAAGTGGGAGCACTAATAACGTTTCCTGAGCTCTAGAGATTTTCAATCGGATGAAGAGTTTGGATATAATCCAAGCAAAACTTGGAGCTCATACTTCTACAGTGTTGATTGATGCACTTGCAAATTTGGAACAATTGATGAAGCCCGCAGTTTTTTTTAATGGAGTGAACAATCTGAGATGTTCACCGAATGTGGTGACTTATGCAACTCCGTCTATGGGCTTGCAAAGGCTAGTGGACTGAGAAGGGAGTTCTGGAATTTGGGGCGGAGTCTATCGATAGGGGTCCGGGCGTCAAACGCTCCTCTCTCTTTTCTGCTTTTGGTTCTGTTTGCGAGAGCTCTGGAAAATCCGGTGTGCTGCGGCTAGGGCCGTTCCGTCCACACTTGTGTTTTCTTCTTGCTGGTGATCTATCCTCTTCGGCGGCCGAGGTTTGTGAGCGCTCTCTCTTGTTCTTCCTTGTCTTCGTTCTTACGGAGTAGTGGCGTTGCGTCGCTGGTTCTTTCTCTTGCTCATGGTTCAGAAGGCGGCGACTGGTTTTTGGTGGTGCTGCAATTGCTTCCTACGGCATTGTTGTGGTTCTTTCTCTTCCTCGTGGATTCGCGGAAGGCAATTCGGTAGTTGTGCTCGATAGTTTACTCGGGGTAGCAGCAGGAACTGTGAAGCTCGCGTTTACAACGTGATTCTGGTTCTTAATCTTCTGATCCATTCTTCCGCCTTGTTGCTCGGTCTTGTGTGGTTGTGTTCTTTTAAATGTTATGATGGTCCCTTCCTTGAGTCTAGTCCGCCATCATGTGTTCAGTACCATTTGTTGTTTGTTTGAACCCAACCACTCATTGCTGATCAGTCTCTTGTTGTTGATCGTCTATCTCTAATCGTGTTCTTGCCCGTGTTCCGTTAGTGACTTGCGGCAGAGCCGCATGCTCTTTGCTCACTTTTCTTTTCTTTTTCTTTTCTTTTCTTTTTTTCTTTTTTTTCGATCTGCTTGTTCTGTTGAGCGCCAGGTCGGCTGTCAACGGTGCTTGGTTCCCTGCAGCTGCTTGGTCTACGTTTAGTTCGTCCTCCCGTGCTCTCACAAGATGTTGGAGTAGAAGAAGCAAGCTGGGGTGCGATATACGTGCGGAGCGGCTTGGGAGTTGACTTGGAGCTACAACAGAAGCTGAGGGGTGGTTGTTATCTTTGACCTCGTTCTTGTGGTTCCTGCGGCAAGTCTGATTCTGCCGACAGTTTTGCGTCGTTCCATTCTTTGGAGTAGACGATCTTCACGAGCTCCAATTCTTTTTTTTTTTTTTTTTTTTTCTTTTTTCTCTCTAGTATATGGTGGGGCTGCAAGCTTCGGATCTCTAAAGTGTTGGCTTTAGTCGGAGAGCTGCTGTGTTGAATTGCTTTGGATTAGCGGGGTCACGTTGACGTCTAGCTCGATTCCCACTTTTCGGTTATTTTTTGCTTTTCTCCCTTAAGACTCGTGATTGGAGCAACATGGTGATTTCCGGCACACCTTCTGCAACGTGGCTGGTTGAAGTCGAGCGCCAAGCAATCCAGGAGCGGATGTCTTTGGTTCTTCTCCGATCGTTGGTTGTGTGGTAATGCAGCAATGGCCGGCCCAAGGCAAGACTGCTGGGGATCTTGCGTGGTCCCTATAAGATGACGTTGTGGTTGTAATGCACTTTCAGAATCAGTATCTAGCACTCACAACTCGGCTTTTGGTGGTTATTGAGATAGGTGTCTACATTGCTGAGGTCGGCTGCTTGATGTGGGAGTAACAAGTCTAGGCTATGTTAAAATAAACAAGTATTATCATAGGTATGGTAAAGTAAATAAGTATTATCTTAGGTGAGTTACTAATGGTTTAAGAGTAGCAAAAAGGTGTAGAGAAGTAATTAAAGTGGCGATTAGATGAAGTGGAATCTAGGGTTTTATTGGATGAAGCAAAGATGGATGAAGATGAAGTTCAACTATAATAGATATAAACTCCACCTATAAGTAAAAGTTGTTGGAAGTGAGAATTAACTCATTCTACATTTTCTTGTGTACACCTTTGCTGATTTCTATTTATTTGTATCTTGCTTGTTGTATTTTTTCAATAGTATAGGAATCCACTCATACTTTTTTGTGTCATTCAAGTAATGTCATTCTCTTTTGGTTGTTCTTGTATGGAATAGATCTTATGGTGTTTGTTAATGTTAGGAATTCTAAGATTTAAACTTGTGTTTTGGATGTGAAGAGGTGCTGTCTTTGACCTTATAGATCTCTAATATTGCTTTGTGGATTCTTATCTTCTAAGATTGAGAATTTAAGACATTATAGAAAGAACTTGATAGTATGTTTTATTTTGGTGACGTTATTTCACTTATCTTGAATGTATAATAAAATAGTTGATTCCAAAGAGTGAAAATTCACGATAGTGAGGTTTATTGGAGTATACATATGTGTTAAGCTTCAGAGCTTGAATTGAGAGTATTTTGGGTGAGAAAGCACTCATTTGTTATAAGAAGGCATTATGAGATTCTGATAGTGTAAAACTGTTTTGATAATATGAAATTCATAGTAACTCCTTTTCTTGATATATTTAGATAGAATCCTTTTTAGACTTGGCTTCTAGTGAAGGTGAAGGTTTGAAAGTAATTGAAAAGTTTAGAGGAGAGAATTTTTACCATTGCAAGATCAAATTGGAACTTTTGTTGGCATCTTTGGACCTTCGTGACATTGTAGATGAAAGTGAAGAGACTCTAAGCATACATACAGTTGCTAAGGAGAAAAATGACTTCAAAAGATATGAAAAGAAGGCTTTTGGCATAATTGCCACCAATTTGGATGAAGCCAACTTTTTTCACATCATTACTTGCAAAAGACCTGCAAAAGCATAGAAGACTCTTTGTAATATATATGACAGCAAGAACTTGTCTAACATCATCTTCACAAGAAAGAAATTCTATATATGTAAGATGAAAGAAGGTGAAGATTTCATGGCTCATACCAATAAAGTGAAGGCTCTTGCAAATCAACTATCAATTATTAAAAAGCTTCTTGAAGAGGATGCTTGTGTCGAGAACAAGAACTCGATGAAAAAAAACAATTGAGACAAGTGAGCCTTCACTCAAAGAAAGGTAACAAAATATAAATAACCAAGTATGTATATTGAAAGAAAAACTGGAATGGCTATTGCCAAAAGACAAGAAAATTAGAGACTCTTGAAATTAGACTAGAAGCAAGAAAGGAGTTCACAAGAGTGAAGAAGGCTTCACTCTTGTCTTTATATATACTATCTAACTAGGGGCTATGTGGCGACATTCTATAGGACCTCTAATATGTGTTGACTTTGTAGGACACATGCCTTGACTTACAAGGCAAGTTTTTCTACGTGTGGGCCACATAGTTAGCTTGATTTTCACGCTAACAATATGTGTGGCATATGGCCAACTTGTTGACCACATTTCTAATCCAAAAAGTCAATTAAAGACACCTATGAAATCAAAGCAGCGTCTATGAAGCTTCTATATTAAATACTATAGAATTAACTTACTTTTACCTACTTTTACTTACTTCCACCTATTTATATATATAATTACTAGCTTACATGAGTATGTCCGTGATATTATCCCCCCTTCTAGGGACAAGTTCCATGAGGAGCGGTCATCATATGTTGAGGAAATCCATCATGCGACGAATTGTATTCGTCACATACTCTGATCTTTATTCTCTTCGAAGATGATTGATAGGACCTCTCAATCATCAGTAGTGTCCCATACCAGGGCGGGAAGACCACCCAATTATTTGATCATTGTTGAGGCCTTCATAACTTCCTTCAAATAGAATATTTGGAATACTATCAGGAGTTGTTCCTACCTCTAACAAAATCACCAAACATCGGGAGTCCCTCCCCAAATTGTGATACCAAATGTGTTGTATCTTGCCATCTATTCAAGGAAGAACATGTCATTCTTGAAGATCTTCATCTCGATTGCGTTGTCTTGAAAGTTGTGATAATCGTAATGTCTCATCTGGCAGGTCAGCAAATAAAGGCTCTTGAGTCGAATCCGCTAGTTGTTGGTTCTCTATCTCCTAAGCATTACAACTATAAAGAAGCTACGAACAAGGATTGAAAGTAGAATGTTATCTTGCCTAGATGTTGTTTTTTTCATAAAGAAGGTTTTCATCTTGATTTTGATGGATGTCGTTGATGAAAAGCCTCCATCGCCTTTGCTGCATTTGAAGGTTTTTTATTAGCTCTCATGTGCATTCACTAATATCATATCCGTACCAATGGACAAGATATTCTAATTTATTTTGGTGCCGCCTCGAATCTAAGACTTCTTCTACTTCAAACTCTTCATTATTGTCCACTTCTATAGGAGGAGGTGGAGCTTGTTGTCTTCTTGATATGTCCACTGTCTTGTATGGTTTAAGAAGGAACACGTGGAATACTGGATGGATTTTCATTGACTCTGGTAGATATAAACGATATGCAACTAGATTGATTTGTACAGAAATAAAAAATAGTCCAAGCCTTTGATAGTCCAACTTGTCACAAGGACGAGTGGTCTTGATATTGCGACGAAGTAGCCATACCTTATCACCCAAGAAGAATGGTGGTTGTTCCTTTCGATAAACATCTGCATTGACCTTTTGTTGTTCTTGAGCCTCTTTTAACTGTGCCTTCATCGTTGCATGTAGCTTTGATAAATGAATTGCCAAATCTTTTGTAACAGGATTATCAACTTTTGAAAAGTCAAAAGTATCAAGTCATGGATGATAACCATAATTAGCAAAGAAAGGTGTTTGTGTTGTAGAAGAATGTACCGTGTTATTATAAGCAAACTCTGCCAATGGCAAAAAAGTTGTCCAATCATCTTGTTGGTAGTTAATGGTACATCTTAAATATTGCTCCAAAACTTGATTAACACGCTCCGTTTGTCCATCAGTTTGAGGATGGAATATCGAAGATAGTTTTATATCTACTTTTAGAATCTTGAAAAGAGTCCGCCAAAATCTTGATACAAATTGAGTTCCCCTATCTGATATAATATCCTTGGATAATCCATGATAGCGATAGATATTGTCAAGAAAGAGCTTAGCTATTTCTTTACCTATGATAGATTTTGTACATGATACAAAATGTGCCATCTTGGTAAAATGATCTACTATCACGAATATAGAGTCATAAGAACCTAAGATTGGAAGATTCGTGATGAAGTCTATAGAATCAGAAGACGATGGTTGTTCTGGAATGGGTAATGGCTGAAGAAGTCCGTAAGGTTGATGATGAGGAGTTTTTGATCTCGAGCAAACATCACAAGATTATAAAAAATCTTTGACTGCTTTCCAAATTTGTGGCCACCAAAAATCCCTAGATATAAGTTCCAAAGTTTTATTGTACCCAAAATGTCCTACTGCTAGGAAGTCGTGACGAGCTTAAAGAATACGTAAACGTGCTTCTCCTTCTGGAATATATAGGCATCCTTCGAAATAGAGTAGGTTGTTCTTGAATTCAAATTTAGAGGGATCATGAGATTTAAAAGAATTATTCTTGATATCATGAACAAGAGGGTCTGAAGACATACTTAACTGGACTTGCTTAAGAAAAGTTAAATCAACAATCAATGTTGATTTTATTGCTTGAAGATGAAATTGCTCCAGCTTCAAGAGAACTGTTCTTTGTTGCTCAAAAGCTGCATCTCCTTCCTTTGGTGCAAGATAAGAATGTCTAGATAAGGCATCAGACAAACCTTGTTGTTTTCCTAGCCGATAAGTGATGATGAATTCGAATCTTGATAAAGACATGCTCAAATGAGCTTGATGACGATTTAATATGCGTGTTGACATAAAATACTCGAGGTTCTTGTGATCCATATACACAGTGACTAGATTGGAAGCTCCTTCTGGATAATGACGCCATTCTTGAAAAGCATCTACAATTGCAAGAAGTTCTTCGTCGTGGATCTCATAATTGATTTCTGTTGCTGAGAATTTTCTTGAATGAAAGGCTACAGGATGAAGTTTGTCATCTGTTCCCATTTGTGAAAAAATTGCACTCAAAGCAAAGTCTGATGCATCTGTTTCCATAAAGAATGCTTTGGAGAAATCAACATGATACAAGATTAGTGTAGAAACAAACGTTGTCTTCAAAGATTCGAAAGCAACTTCCGCTTCTTGATTCCATTTGAGTTTGTCTTTACAAGTCAAGCGTGTAAGTCGTGTAAGTTGAGCTACAACTTGAGAGAAGTCCTTGATAAAGATCCAATAGTAGTTGGCAAATTCCAAAAAGTATTGGACATCTCTTACCATTTTTGGAATCTTCCAATCTATAATAGTTTGAATTTTCTTAGGATCCATCATAAGTCCATCATTTGAAATGATGAAACCTAAAAAATCGACTTGAGTAGTATAGAATATACACTTTTCTATCTTGGCATAGAGTCCTGCATCTCTTAATTTTTGTAACACACGACAAACATGAAGTTCATATTCTTCTGGATTCTTAGAATAGATTAAGATGTCATTGTCGTATGGCGTGATTTGCTATCTGGGAATACACCGGGTATCTAGCTGTAGAGAATGTATCTTAAACCTTTATATGATTCTTTTTTTAGCTTCCAAAACTCCTTTATTTTTGTATAAAACTCCAAATATAACAAAATCCTTTCAAAACATATTTTTCCCACGAAGGGTTTTCTTGCTCCAAACTTTAGAAAATTATAACTATTGATCTAACCGTTCAATTTTTTTCAAATTTATAAAATAAGTAGAATTTACCCTTAACTTTTACCACAAAAAAAACCTACCACAAATTCACTCTCGATCTTCTGGCATCTAAGAAATCCTAGCAGACACTCCAAACCCTAATTTACAAGCACCCGAAAAACTATTTTCCTTATATCTCAAATATCCGAACTCTAAATGTCATAAAACTTATGCACAAAGTTTACTTACATGAAATTACACATTCTTTGAAATTTTGAGCCAAAACCTTGTCAAATTTCTCAAGATATAGCTCAAGAGACAAACACTAGTAAATCGGTTTACTTACTATCCT